CAACACTGGTCTAAGACAGGCTCTCATTATTTCTATCTAGGCTAGGCCATAAGCGTGCCAATACCAGCGGGTGTACTAACAGGTAGACTGAGGCCCTCGTAAATATTCCAGAACAACGTGGTCATTGCCTTCCACAAAAGGAGTTTTTGAAAGCCATTGCAATGCCAGGCCGTCGTTCACAATAACTAAGGCACTAGAAATCTCTACAATAGGTAAAGGTAAAGGTCAAAACGTAAAGATTAAAACTATATAATGTCACGTGGTCGTAAGTTGAAAAATTTATTTCGCTACAGTCACATGTGCGTAAGCTTAATAATTTATTCACTTTTCATTACCAAAATACCGAAATGGCAGAACCACACATATTTTGATTAAGGTGTAGAGTTTGTGAAGTTAGGGCTTGCAGAGTTATGTCGTGCAGAGTTAGAAGCTTCGCTCTTAATGAGATCTGGTAACTGTTTGACAGTACGAGCCATATGGTCTCGTCTTGGCAACATTTTACATGAAAATGTTTTTGTGTCTATCTATGCCTGCCTTCTTATATCCTATATCTATATTGTCTTATTTATTACGTTCTGGCACAAGTGACAGTGTGGGTAAAGCTGCAGACGAACTTTCTCTATAAAATGAATTGCTTTGTATCGGCTCGGAACTGGAATCGAGCCAAACATATGGATCTAGTCTGCTTTATCACTCCGCTTTCGAACTTTTTAGATAAAGGTACTTGTAAGAGCTATGAGATTAATGTTTTTATTTTTTTTAGAAAGCTACTGGACTAAGCAGTGTTTCATACTCTATTTATATTTTGACTTTGTTTTTAAACATAAATAAGAAAGTCTGATATATGTATATAAAAATGGAATTTATAAACGATCTTCAGAAGAAATGTGTAAGAGCCATACAGAAGTCCATAATCTTATTTATATGAAAAAATAATCCTGTTGTGCCAGGACAACCCGTGGACTAGATAGGTCAGAAATAATAGGTCCACAAATTGCAGCATAATTTTCTTCTAAATTATCTATCATCCCGCTCCCGGGATGTGACGCATTGATCTATATTAAGGAACCACACAAACGATTTCAGTTCTAGGTTAGGTACAAACATTTACGGGCGAACTAATTATAATTTCATAGACGCACTTAGCTATATAGCACAAAGCAGCAAAGCTTCCTGAGCACCATTTATACGAATTAAGAATGCACTACATTGCTGACTTAATATTAAAAATAAACTACACCTAATATTCATATTCAAAGAATAGAACCAATGTACTTTTACTTTCTATCCATCTAATTACTATGTAAATTTCAGTTCGGCTAATTTACGTAAATAATCACAGCTTTCAGTGATTGTAGATTTTCTCTAAGGAAGACTGTAACGGGCTTTTATCTCATAGGTAAGCAGAAAGGACAGGGTAGGTCATCCAGAGATGTACCTGTAGAAGAGACTATGGTGGTAACAAATTTCTATAAGTTCTTTGGTATACCCGTTTGTCTTATCACTAGTAAATTCTCGGCATGGTTTAGAATTAGATACTGCGATGTAAAGTACCTATTTACAATGATGTTGGTGGTGCGAGGTTAATAGGTAATGATTAACCACGTACTATCGGACAGTCTGTGTGCTCGTTTCTCAAATGAGCTACGGCTCTATATATCTACACTGCAAGTATTTAGTTATCTTAGAACTGAATGAGTGATAGCAGTCACAGACATATGAAGGGATAGACAGAAGTATGTATCAGTTGTAATCTGGTAAATTTTGACTAAGTGTTTATACTGAGTATTTGCTAACAAAAACATAGCATGACCCAGGTACCAAAATCCAGATTTATTTAATCTAAACTTATGCCGCGAGACCAACTTAGCCGTAAAATGTTTTCTGAACTTTTAATAGTCTTCGAAATAAAAGAAAAGAAAAAAGTTTTCAAGATAAGGTTGATCGTGTTTGCGTGTTTGGGACTCGTAATCTATTCAACTTTGTAGTAATGAAAGTGAAAAATAATCTGTTTCCGATTACGTACAACTTTTACTACTTCGTATGATTCTTATTTGCATGTTGAATCCAATTAAAAGTTACATTACAAAAATTATATCATTACTGAATGTAGTTTCTTTATAATATTAAATAATACGACAAAACAAGGACAAACGTCTACCAACATATCGCTGGCGAGGTTCATTACACTGTATATACATACAATGCGGTGAGGAAAGGCGCGTAAAAATTTCCGTGGAAGTTTAACTTGTTTCTTGACATCCTTAAAAATACCGTCCGGACCGTATTCGGCCACGGCGGCTTAAGAGTTGATTAATGAGAGCTTGGTTGATGTGTTGTATTGTTTTAGGTGACTGATATACCTAATTTTTGCCCCTCCCCGACTACATATTTAAAGAGCATAAAAGGGCATCACCAATTGGCAAGTAACCCTGGTGTGGTAATCGCCTAGGCGTCTACAGTGATTATTAATCGTAAGATGTATTGCAGCCTTGCTTTTCAGCCTTATTTATATACAGGTAATTCTATAAAATAATCTAATGCACGTACGACCAGTCTCGTCTCCTGAAGTATATTGCCCACAGAAAATAGAGTGGTTTAAAACGTTGTTGTTAACAAAGCTAGCTAACTATACTTTGGTAGAACTCGTTGGAGAACAGAGAACAGATTAGTAAATTAGACAGATTAACAATTAACAAAGCCTCCTCTTGCTAATGCTAAACTTGTGTTTCTTTTTTTACTAGAGAAAACTGTTTAGCCTTTCACATTGAACATCGAAAGTCACTTAGACAAAGTGAAAAACAGATCTATGACGAGGTAACCGGTCATCGTACCATGATTAACTACCGATCTGTTTCTAAGTTTATGTAAAAATAGATCATGTCACTTTACTAGTGGTGTCGCTTTCTACTTTGTCTAAAATATTTTAATGTCGCATTAGAAAATCAATAGACTAAGTAGTTATTGTAATAATCTTAAAGATCAGTTCTTGTACATTAAAACAATTTAATTTAAGTTTAATTTACGTTATAAAAAATAAGAGAAAATAGGATTTTTTCAGTATTTGATAGTAGGTATAATTATCGTTTATTTTAATAGACCTGTCGTACGTGGCAGTGCAAGATAATTCCGTCAGAACGTGCGCTTTAAATTCATGTTAACTCATGTTTTCCATTTTATTGTACTTTTAATAACATCTTTTCATTAAAAAAAGACGAAGCTGTAAAACAAAATGTTTTATGTCTAACTTGGCAATAAATAATTGATTTATTGATTGATTATTACTTTAAATGTTCTTTAAATAAATCTATTTTATTGTCACTTTGTATTAACTAAGCTATTAACTTGCATTATGTTTAAAAAGACCTTTGATACATGTCAGTAATGTACCTAATCCTGTTCTAATAACATTTAAAACAAGATAAAATCTAACGTAACGAGGGTAGCCCGAAATAATCGTGTCCTTACATGAGGTTAGGAGAGTCAAAATTGGCGAATAAATTTTCCTTAGTTAATAAATTAATAGTCTCTAACCATAAATGTAAGTACATAGTAAAATCGATTTTCACATGTTCCCGAATAAGTAAAATCTAAATCGGGAAAGTAGGTTACATCACGATCGGGATAACTGACAGCCTGTTAGCTGCCACCGTACCACTTTATATTCGACGTCTGATTTATATCTTTAAAGAAAGAAAAGAAAGAAATTTGTATTTGTGTGAAGCAGGGTACTTTTTAGTAGTACCAAGGATTTCCCTTTTTAGGGTACACTTGGTTCCCCGGCTACTTGTACCGTACGTGCGGTATTTAGTCGCTACGAGCCCGTCATAACCACCCCACCGGTTGCCCGGTGGATGGTATACGAGGGGATTTCCGCACAGACATAATCGGGAAAAAAATGTGTACTGATTGTATCCACTTATTTATGGACGTAAAAACACTCATAGTAACAAGTATTTAGTTTACAACCGGTTGACAAGAATACAGTAAAATAAAAACTTGCGTGAGTGGTATCATCATTTTTATCAAAGATGTGGTGATGTGGTGAAGATTTGTTTATGCGTGGGATGCACGTGGTCGGGTTTCTCCGAAATACGCTAGTACTTTATATCTTCACCAAAAATGTAAATGATTTTTTTTTAATGTATAACATGTTTCGTCTCGCTTGCCTGCAGTGGAGGAGCGATTTCGTGAAAAGAGATGGAAGTGTTGAACAGGACGCGGAAGGAACTATGTGATTTGATCAAAGAGCGTGCGCGGTGCTAGGGTTCACCATTAGGTGCGATTATTGTAAGGGTTACTCTTTTTTAAATTAAGGTTCTACCTATTTGTACCTAAAGGTCTAGCTTAAATGATTGCTCTAACTCTTCAAAACATTGTAATACATGGTAATGCATCGCGAGTGGATTGGTGGCATAGGAATCGACTAAGGCATGACCAAGACCACTCTGTCAAGAGTACATGAACAGGAAGGAAGAAGTTAAACGTAACTAGAAAATTTTAAGTATTGCATTCTGTATCTGACCTCCTTAGTGATGAAAAGCTAAGCTATTAGTTTTGTTTGTCTCCTTTTCCAAAAAAATTAGAAACTAAGACAAGATAGTAAAGTCGCTGGCTCTTTCAGTAAAGAAAAAATCTTTTGAAATCTGAAATCACACATGTATATCTATTTCTACAAATATAATTGATAACATTTGAAAAATCCAATGTTTTGATTACAGTCGACAAGAACACTCCTTTGATGGGTTCTCATCGAATAATTAGCCAACTAATTTATTTTAATGTCCAAGTGCCGTATGTGACGAATCAGCAGTTTATGGAACTCTCTCCTTTCATGTGGAAAAACACCTTTACTTTCCTAAACTTTCTGATTTTATAAAATAAATCATGTAGATACGACGCTAAAGTGTTTGTGGAATATATTTATTGCAAGATACGTTAAGTGATATCGTTCAATATGTCTCCTATTGAAGAATTTGTTTTGTATACAATATACTTACTTAATAATTCCATCCTCAATATAGACATCCAAGTCTTCCATTCCATCATCGTTGACAACCTTCCCATTCTTGATGAGCAGACGATTCTGCGAGCTCTGGAAGAAAAAAACAAACAAATTAAAAATAAAACTCATTATCTAATTGTAACTGTAAACACTAGAGCATTTATCTTCAATAAATTACTGAAACATTACTGACAAAGAAATATAAAAAAGATAACTGTTTTATGTAATATAGCAAAGTTTGGATTGCGTGCTTTGGAAATAACCTATAACGTGGTAGGAAATTATTATAGGTATATAATATTACGTTTAGTTACACCTCGACATGTTACCGAATATAATGCAGTAGGTACCGTTCAACAAGCCAAGTTTTATGAACACTAACTTAAGTAGCCTGAGAATGCGACAACAGGACTTAAAATAGTGATGTGCAGAAATTCCTTAATCGAGTTAAATATGGAACTCACTTTTATATTAATACCAGATACCGAAGTCGGAGTAACATCAACTGTCATTTTTAAAAAATCGAACGTCCGACTGACCAGTGAATTAAAAGACAATAATAAATTCGCGTTTTAAGTAAAATGGCGCCGTATGGCGTCCGGCGCGGAGCACGAAACCGACTGAAACTGAAAATGTGATACCGAAAATAGAAGGTGTACGTTCCCCTCGCCTCGATGCGTATAGCACAGTGTTTTACACGAAATAGAAAGTTGTAGAGTATGCGTGCAATTATAGCAGAGAACATCTATAACCGTCGAACGTCGATAATCGATAATACGAACATCTCATACAAGTAATTAGCGAAAATGCACTTTAGGGTTAGGAGTACATGGCTTAGTACAATGCCTAGCCTATTTAGGCGATTTCTTTGTGTAAAATAATATTTCAAAGATTATTTAATACACACACATTTCCATTACTTACCCTATCTTTATCAAGTGGAAATGTAATGTAGGCTAGTGTGTTTTTTATTTATTTTTCACATCTTATATGTTTTAATTCACTTTCACTTCTATTCCATCTTTTTTCTTTATTTTGTTTTCTCTTCATTGATTTTACCTTTTAGTACTTAATAACTGACATATTGGCGCACACATCAAAACAATTTTGTTTTATATTTATTATATTTATATTTGAGAATGCGAAATAAATTTTAATAAACTTGAAAAAAAGCGTTGGGTGCCTGTTGTCAATAATAAAAAGCGCCCCACGCTTTAATTAAATTTATTTTCTAATTTGTAGTTTGGTTTTCTATAAAAAGCGTGTTTTTTAGTTTTTTAAAACTATTTTTTTTAAATTAGTGTATTGTCATCGGTCCTCGATATATCTACAAAGTTTGAACGAATTCTGTCCGTTTAAAGTCAGTCAAAATCACGCCCAAAGGAGTCGGTTACAAACAAACATACATAGTAGAGCTAATATAAAGCGTTTAACAAACAAACATACAAACATACAAGTGAAGCTAATATAAAGCGTGTAAAAAGTGTGGCCGTGAGATTGTTTGCCTTTGTTACATCCCGACTTCGACACAGTCTTAAAGTGGTGCCATGATGCGGGTCATCAAACGATCCGTGTAACTGTACCGCTACACAAACCGTAACGACACATACCTATGTAAGGTTAGTTATTGTCAGCAAGCTAAATTGGGGTAACCATGTAGAACTCGTGTGATAAACTCAGACAGTTTGTTGCAAACATCAGTTAGTTTTTCAGTTTCATTAGTCAGTTAATTTTCATATTCTGGCAGTCTTCAATCATGGGACAGACATACCGATGTCCCCCCGTGTCCGTGTGACCCCGGCCCTTTCGATCTATCCCTGTAGTCTCAGTTCTATTTTGCCCGAAACTTGCGTTTTATCTTTCATATTGTCTTGCGGTATTCATATTTTGTCCCGTCTGTTGAGAGAGTTGGTGTCAAACAAGCGGCCACCCGTAAAAGAGCCAAATCTTCTTGCAATTTTACCCATTACTCTAACCTCCAAGTGTAAATTCCTAATTTTATTTGGGCTTTGGGCATGTACGCAATGATGATGATTCTGTAATTTTATTCAATATAATGATGACGGTGACAAGTGACAAGAGTGGTGGATCAGAAGCCATCAGTCAAAAGCTTTCTATTAGTTACAATCAATGTGTCAATCACACATGTCATTAACAAACAATGTATTAGAAAAATAACATTTTCCCATTACTGTAACAGGTATCAGTGAACGAAGCTGCAATGCAGGAAAAACACGAGCGAAGCCGTTTTAAAAATACTTTCTCAGTCGCTCAAACAATCTCTTTCTACGACACTGAACTGCTACAATTATCGTAATTATAATTTAAATTGCTGATTATATTCTATTGTGTAATGTTTGTTTTTATTAGTTTCCATTTGTATTTTGTTTTGCTTAGTGAAACTTAAGACGCGAGTTACCGATGTGTGTTTATTATTGTTGACTAAACTGTTAGTTTATTTTGTTTAAAGTAATTTTACTTAAAATTAACTAATCATGATAAAGCACTAAACAGTAATTATACTGTTTAGTGCTTTATCATGATATGCCTTCATGATAAAATAAAAATTTCAAGCTAGCTTTCACTCCGTTTTCTTCAATAAATCTTCACTTTTTTTAATGTTAAAAAATAGTCAGAAGTATTATAAGTCACAAGAGAGTATTTTATCAGCGATTTGTGATCAATTTAGCAAGCTCAACGATGTTACTAGCGCGTGTCATGTTCTGCTTTCTGTAAGCACTAATGATGGATAAGTACACCCACTCAAAGGAGTATACCTACATATCATACATATATTATTTTATAATACACTTTTAGGGGATGTACAGAGACGGTGCAGGTATAGCTAACAAAATTTTGGTTAGAGTTAATGCCATAATACTACGAGTCATATTATTATATATGTTATCATTTGAAAGTAAACACACACAGTTATCAAAATGATAATATTCATTTCTTCTCTTTAGATTATTGATATTTTTTCACTTTATCTATTTTATCTTTGAAGAAGCTTGTAAGTGCTAATATCAAGTCTGATAGCGTTCGTTTATAGAATTATAAAATATTAGAAGTGCCATACTATAAGTATGTGCCCGACCCAGTCCTGGAGAATAGTCGGGCCACGTTGAATTAGGGTCGATCTAATTTTCACAGACCATTTATTTATTATTTTTACTTCTCAACAGCACTATCGTTAAACGCTAACCCTAAAGCGACAGTGTGGTCCTTAATTACTATGACATATAATACTCGTAAATATGGTTACTTTTGTGAACTCATTCAGACAGCAAGAAAAATGACAATATTTTGTGCCACCTTGTTTAGTGTAACTAGGGTCCTCGTTAGGGGAGCCTTACTCAACAAATTTGTCCTAGCACAAGGATGGCAAGACATTGACATTAAGCCTGATTGTGGTGATAGTTCGATTAGAGCGCAATGATTGTTGATATCTCCGTTCCTCATGACGAGAATCTTGAAGTTTGAAAAAGAAAAACAAATATAATCCGTTGGGGTCCTAACAACCGGTGTCTTGTACCCGAAGTCGGTTGTCTACTATTTGTTATATTTTTAAACATGTATTTTTTACTTAGTTATATTTAAAAAAAATGTAATAAATATGTAATAAGGAGGATAATAATAGCTTCCGACTTCTCACCACGAGCGTCGTCTATTTGTCCATGGTATTTGTCCCGTGGTTACGGATTAAAAATAAGGAGTGTCACCACCTCTATCCATCACGTTGGAGTCGTAAGAGCCGACTACGGGAGCAAACTACGCAGAACGCCAGTACTGCGAAGAGAAGGAAAACTTGACACAATTCCTATACCAACCCATTTGGCCAGCGTGGTGTAGCAGTCCAAAATCTCCTTTATAAGGAGAGAGCCTATGTCCGGCAGTGGACTGTTAAAGGCTGTTGATGAACGCTTTTAATTAAAGTTAACTACTATGGAACTGTCCGCACTTTAACGAAAGTTCTAACAATTTGTTATTTTGTTTTATTATAGTACAAGCTCTGCTTAGTTTGAAACTAGATGACGTTGTGTGTCAACCAACAAAAACAGTTTTGAACACTTTATGTGTTTTAAAATAATAGCCGTAAATTAGTATTTCATTCATTGTTTACCCTTAAGTCAAACCAAAGTATGTTACATAAATATAAAAAAAATAGGCATAATACTAATCATGTACTCGTATATACACCAAATTATTATTTCTCTTTACGCGCCAACTAAAGACAAGACAAGCGAGACAGCTGATTGGTTAATCAGCTGTCAAAATGTGCACGATCGGTGTTTTCAATCACGTGGCTATTCTGGCGTGGCTTAACACACACACACTGTATTATCACTGTATTCTTATTGTATAGTTGTTGTAGTACGAAATGGGTGAAGACACTGTTTCCTGTAACACAGGTTGTAACCTACCACAGGAATCAGGGTCCTAATGTCAATACATTAGGACCCTGATTCCTGTGGCCACGTTGAATTAGGGTCGATCTAATTTTCACAGACCATTTATTTATTATTTTTACTTCTCAACAGCACTATCGTTAAACGCTAACCCTAAAGCGACAGTGTGGTCCTTAATTACTATGACATATAATACTCGTAAATATGGTTACTTTTGTGAACTCATTCAGACAGCAAGAAAAATGACAATATTTTGTGCCACCTTGTTTAGTGTAACTAGGGTCCTCGTTAGGGGAGCCTTACTCAACAAATTTGTCCTAGCACAAGGATGGCAAGACATTGACATTAAGCCTGATTGTGGTGATAGTTCGATTAGAGCGCAATGATTGTTGATATCTCCGTTCCTCATGACGAGAATCTTGAAGTTTGAAAAAGAAAAACAAATATAATCCGTTGGGGTCCTAACAACCGGTGTCTTGTACCCGAAGTCGGTTGTCTACTATTTGTTATATTTTTAAACATGTATTTTTTACTTAGTTATATTTAAAAAAAATGTAATAAATATGTAATAAGGAGGATAATAATAGCTTCCGACTTCTCACCACGAGCGTCGTCTATTTGTCCATGGTATTTGTCCCGTGGTTACGGATTAAAAATAAGGAGTGTCACCACCTCTATCCATCACGTTGGAGTCGTAAGAGCCGACTACGGGAGCAAACTACGCAGAACGCCAGTACTGCGAAGAGAAGGAAAACTTGACACAATTCCTATACCAACCCATTTGGCCAGCGTGGTGTAGCAGTCCAAAATCTCCTTTATAAGGAGAGAGCCTATGTCCGGCAGTGGACTGTTAAAGGCTGTTGATGAACGCTTTTAATTAAAGTTAACTACTATGGAACTGTCCGCACTTTAACGAAAGTTCTAACAATTTGTTATTTTGTTTTATTATAGTACAAGCTCTGCTTAGTTTGAAACTAGATGACGTTGTGTGTCAACCAACAAAAACAGTTTTGAACACTTTATGTGTTTTAAAATAATAGCCGTAAATTAGTATTTCATTCATTGTTTACCCTTAAGTCAAACCAAAGTATGTTACATAAATA